AACCATTCGGCTCCAGAGTTGGCTCCTCAACTCTCATTCATCTTATCTTGGATTTGATGTTGCTTGTTACTGCAGAAACGTGGTTGTGTCTGAGGTTTTGTTATTTTTGCCAAGTACCTAATGAATTTTCGGTAATACCCCAATAATACCAGAATAGACTTGATTTGTTTTTTATATCCCCAACTTATTAAAAATGGGTATAAGGGTATATTGTATTTGTGCAAAATCCAAATGTATGTAACAGGCAGAAGGAAGCTTCTCCGACCCCATAAAGTACATATATTCATGATCAGCATCAACAGTCGAGTCGATCTAGCCATGTCCGTCCGTCCGTCTGTCCGTATGTATGAACGCAAGGATATCAGAACCTATAAGAGCTAGAGACTTGAAATGTTAGATGTAGGTCCTCCTAGTGCCTGCGCAGATCGAGTCTGTTTCCGATAATCGATAACTTGCCCCGCTTCCAAATAATCGATACAAATCGATATCGACAACCTGTTTTTTGAGCAATTTTGGTATATAATAAGAGCTGGAGTCACCAAACTTGAAATGTAGCTTCTAGATTAGAATATATATTTGAATTTGGTGTTGGAAAAAGAAGATTCAGGGTATCCCCTACTCGGGACCTCCCGACTAGAACATCTTACTTGGTATACCCTGAACCCATTAAAAATGGGTAAAAAGGGTATATTGTATTTGTGCAAAATGCAAATGTATGTAACAGGCAGAAAAAATCATCTCCGACCCCATAAAGTATATATATTCTCGATCAACATCAATAGTTGAGTCGATCTAGCCATGGTAGTCCGTTCGTCTGTCCGTCCGTCCGCCTGTCCGTCTGTCCGTCTGTGCGTATGTATGAACGCAAGGATATCAAAGCCGTTTCCAAGCAATCGATAAGAATCGATATCAGCATCTTGTGTTCTGACCAGTTGTTGATTTGCAGTATTCTGGGTACCTTCTGAGCATCTCCGGATATCTGGAGCTCAATCGTCCCGAATATGATACATTGTTGTCGTTCATTGTGAGTAGAGTACAGTTGAAGCAGGTAATCCATTCTTCTAATGAATGGACCCAGGGTTATAGGATCTCCTTCAAAAGCTGGCACGTTCCGTATTTGCCTATTTGCGTCATTGCTGGAAGTGCAGCAGCATGAGAACATTCTGGTTGCTCCATTTTTTTACCTTGCTTGATAGCGAATTTCAGAATTGAAATATGTTCGATTTAGTTGTAATACTGTGCACAATTACACTTGTTGTGAGAAGACAACAGTTGTATGGATTCGATTCACAGAATATTACGGTATCCTACCGGCTGCGCAAATAACGTAGTTATAAGTTTTGGAAAAATAAAAAAGAATCAATTTCACAAGAGTGCATTTTTATCTGTTTATTAGGGACAGCAGCTGCAGCTTGTTTATGCTAGCGGCTTTCTGTTGGTCAGTTTTTGTTAATAAATTATTGTTAACATTATTTGAGCTTGGCTGCAGAAGGCATTCTACTCTAATGATTTTCGCTGCTGTTAGCATTATTTGATTTCGGCTGCAGAAGGCATGCTATTGTTATGATTATTCAATTTGTAAACATACATTGGGCTATACCATACAATGCAGCTTATGAATAACAGTGGTTCAAGTTCTGTTGTTGTCATATATATTATATTATATATATCAAGTATCTTTCATTTATACTTACCACCACAGAGCTATGAATCAAGTTAATAGCCCAACTTATATTGCACACCAATTTAAGACACAATTTTAATGCGATTGTCATTTTGAGAATACTCTATGGTACAATGAGATATTCTGTAGAAAATTTCATGTGTTAAGGCAGCTAGCGCAAATTCCAAGAATTTCTGTATAAATGTCAAACACACATTCATGTACATCTGCTTCGAATTCTGTCAACAGAATTGCAATTACAATTGTTTTCTGTGCTGCTATTTAAATTCGTTTTATTCCCAGTAATTACTGGTGTGGATGTTGAGTGAAGACGGCGGCAAGTAGTGCGGTTAGTTGCGATTTCAAACCCTGCCAAGGGAACATTTTTTTTAAATTTATCTTTAATACTACATGCGAGGACGTAGCGCGAGCTACATTTGGAGTTGGAATAAGAGGGTTCAGGTATCCCCAGTCGGGAGCCCCGACATTCAAGTTTCATCTCATTTTTTTGAAAATAATAATTAAATATTCACCAAATAACAGAAAATAACAATGTTAGTTTGCTAAAAACAATATTATAAAAAAAAAAAATTGTTTAAATATTCAAATTTCATGCCAAAATTGGCTCACTGGAATATCACAGTTGTCATTTGGTAGGGAATAATACAAGCGCTTAATATTATCAAGCGATATTCTTGACCAGACCTGTTGGATCGCCTCAATAAGCCGCGATTTTCTAGAATATGGTTTCTCGAATTCATATACATTCCTTGCTTACTATCCCCACACATTTTCTATAATATTTAAGTCAGGGGAGTAAGGAGGTCAGCTCATTAAAGTGATACACTCACAATCCAGCCAAGCTCTGACGACTCTCGCGGTGTGGATTGGGGCGTTATCATGTATTGGAATATTCAGCCTAATATCGTACACAATTATATAACCACAACTAGTTTAATTTTGTATTTGTTTTAATATTTATTATTTTACTTATTGAGCGCGTCAAGTTGTTTATTCTGATGCTCAGCGAAGAGTTAGACTAAATGATAAAAGCATTGCAGTATCAAGACTAAATTGTCCACGTAACAAAGCCTACTAGGCCCCTGTAACTTTTGTATGAATGTGTGTTTGTGTATATTTCAGTGTTGCTAAGTTATTATTTACAACACCGTGATGTGAAACCGAATTTCACTCATTATTTCAACACACTCATTATTCCAGAACATCTCCTCAAAAGATACATTGACCTTTTTATTTTTGATAATTGTTAATGTTACAATACAGTTTCTTCTAAAACAAATTGCTCCTTCTGGGCAATATTAATGATCCACATTTGTCTAGAAATAGTTTATTTTCAAAAAAAACTTCTAAGATTAGGGGAAACCCAGGAAATCCCTAAATCGGATCATGGCTTTATAATAATAACTATACGAAATTAAAATCAAGTCAGAAGTTCTAGTCGGGAGCTCCCGACTAGGGGATACCCTGAACCCTATTATTCCAACAACAAATGAAGCTCGCGCTTCACTCTCTTTTGCTTTATTAGTAACAAAGATAAATTTATTTTTTTTAAATGAAGTTCCCTTGTCAGGGTTCAAACTTGCAACCAAAAACTTAAGTACCCATATCCCACAGTTTTCTTATCCCGTAATGCCCTACTTGGAGTTAAAATAGTTTCATTCCAAAAACATTAAAAATAAATTTATCCAATTTTGCGGAACTAATCATTGCGATCGGATACTTCATTTAGTTGTGGTGTATGGGGAACTGTTAAATGGTAGCCCATGCCATTAGACAAATATTCCCTTCCACTATCAATGTAGAGACTTACAGCCTTTCGGTGATGAGCTTCTCAAATACAAACCTTATATCTCGTTCTGTTGCACATCTTATGAAATTTCTATATCTTTAAACATATTATTATTTCGCACAATTTATAAAAACTTCCCTTTTGCTAATGTATCCCAATCTCTCATGCCACAAACAATAATTTTTATCTATTTTAGATTCAGCTGCAAATGCTCTATGTTTAATCTTGAATTCAACCATAGGAACATTCGTTACACACATACCTTCCAAAACACCTTTTCCGCTCTAAAAGACTGTTACACCAGTTGCGTTTAACTCAACGGTCATATTTACCAGCATTCTGCCCTTGTTGCATTTGACGTTATCGGCAGCACCGAGGGTTACTCAGTTGGTTGCGTGCGATATTATCCACGCCGATATCTTTTGTCATATGGTCGGAGTATGCGGGGTGAAGCTGGGCCCACGGCGGAGCCCAAATTTTTGAAGGGTGGCAACGCCAGACATGCGATCCACGGCGCCAAAAGCGACGATTGCTATTGGCCGCCCGGTTCGCTCTTAAAGAGAATATGAGGAGAGTGGATCGCATGCCCTTGGATATGCCCTTGGCCTTCATTTGGGCCGTTGACCCAAAAAAATGCAGCTGTGCAGATGAGCAGCAACGGTGCCCGCCTCGCAAATGTATGCGTGTGCCGAAATTCGGCACCGATGGTGTGGCTGCCCAAAATGGAGGGAGTGCGATTTGTTCAGCGGTTAACGGCGGACGTGCCAGCTCGAAGTGAGCATAAAAGTTGTATATTGCATATCTGCTCAAAAGACTCGAATTTTTTCCCTTCTGCAAATTAAGCCGGCGCGTAATACAAATGACTTAACAGACAAATAAAAGTTTTGCTTTTGTGTTTTTTTTGCCATTTAATAAATATATCTAAATCAAACCGCTCGAGTCACAAAAAAAATATAATAAAAAATTAAAAGAGACTTAAAACTTAAGTGCGACGAGAGACGAACCAAATAAGCCAAAAATTAACGGCTCCGGCACCAAGGAGACCAGCTCGCGCACCAGAGAGGCCCACGAAACATTCAAAGGCCAGGATTCAGTTCAGCGGCGCAAACCAGCCATATCCGCGACGCCGCCAGCAAGCGTCGGCGCAAACCTGAAGGCGACGAGACGAGCCACCAACGACCGGGCTCCAACGACGAAGAAGCGGCCACAGGCGAGACCCCGCCCACATCCACCGAGTGAGTCCGTTCCATTTTTTTGCCCATCCTCGTTCGAGCCCCTGGCAGAGTCAGAAGAAGACTCCTAATTGCACTCCCTGAAGAGGAGTAGATTTTTTTTTTATCGTAAATTTAGTTAATTTGTAGTTATAAAATATATTTATACATACATAGGCACTTACGCCGAGCTTCACTTTAGAGTGCGAACGGTGAGGGAAACTCCAAAGGTGATGCATCTGCGCCTGTAAAATATAAAAATCTAAAATTAACACTTGCGCGAACTATGCTCACATACTTACCTAATTTGAATTTACGCATTTATATCGCCCCTTACCACCCCCAGAGAGCTCTTTAGGTAGGGTAAGGTAGAATTAAGCGATTTAATACATACAATACATAATACGTGACATACCCAGTTTTAAGTAATTGTGTGGGCCATTGTTCCTAAATCGGCGCAACGATTGCCTCTAAAGTGCCTCCTTGCGCGTTTCTATTGCGGCGACTAGCAATATCCTTGTAGTATTTCGTCGCCTGTTCCATTCAGTGTTGTAAAAAAATAAAAAAATTATTTCTATAAGATAAGAGAAAAATTTAGGAATTAATGCACTTTGTCAAGTAGTATAAATATATGCAACAGTAATACGCACCTGGAGAAGAAATGTTCACGTGCATGAATACGAATTTACCTGAATAGAGACCTCGTGCGAATTGGAAAGAAATAAAAGAAATATTAATGCCAATAATTATAAGAATACACAAACCATTATACGCACCTGTGAAGTTAATGAATTATCCGCTTGCATGAGATCCTAAACAGCTGCAAGATAAATGACATAAGCAATGATTATAATTGTTATACATTTTACGAAAACGCAACCAATTATACGCACCTATTGAAAGAAATCATGTCCGGCTAAAATAATATTGTTGGGGAGAGTGGGCATTATGGCCGACACGGGCTAATATAGGCCATTTAGTGGCCGAAATGAGGGAGACGAGTGGAGGTGATCGTCTCATGGTAGGGCGGGTACGCTGGGTCCGGAACCGGGGCCCGATCTGGAAGAGTAAGGTGGATAAATAGTGTTTTTTGTTAATTTATATTGAGTGTCTTACCTTTGTTGTTTACATTTTCATAGTTGTTACAGCTGTGTATTTTGTTCATGAGTTAGTAGTTCCGAATATTTGTTATCGATTATGCGGTTCATTTTGAGTAGTGTTGTGTGAGTCTGTTTTGCTACAGACGTGTAGCTTTGTTGTTATCGATTGTGCGGACTGCGGGCCAGGGATGGGACCACACCCAGAGAATCCGATGAGCCAGCCGGCGCGGCCCACTGAGAAACAAGCAGTTCCGTAACAATATGGCGCCCAAATTGAAGAAGCACTCGGCTTCTTTGAAGTCGGTGTGTAATCAAAGAAAAATAAATACGATAAAAATGAAGGTACAGAGGAAAGGACTCCCTTGGCTTCAGGACCCACACCGCTGAAGTCTTATGTGGCACGAGTAGGTAGCTCATAATCGCGCAGCGTGTAGTGGAATCCGAGAAGCACCACGGAAGTAGAGGTTATCTGAATATCCATCCATAAGGATGAGGGGTTTTTTTTGTAGTGGTTGATGGCCGTTCGCATGTTGGCGAAACATTTGCGACTATCCATCGTTCGCCTGGTGGTAGCCGCAACGACAAAGGCATCTCATGATTAAAAAAATGTGATATTAGGGTAGTTTAGTCAGATGTTATTTATTCAATTAGTAGTTTTTGTCTCATTTTGTGTCAATGTTGGATGTATGCTGGCCGTAGTTATACGAGCTTCGGAGACAGGTGACCCAGGACGATATAGAGCCGAGCCTGCGCCGCATCTGTCACACAGCATATCCCAAGAATGGCCAGAAGAGCGACGGAGACGGATCTTGCCATGGGGTCCATTGACATGGGGAGTTTTCTTGTCGCGGTTGATGACGGTAAGTCACGTTTGCTAGTTGGTGAACGTTCGCGACCGTCCATCGTAGCCTAGTGGTAGCCGCCATGACAAAATAACCTGTGACAAAATGTGATATTAGGGTAGGTCTGACTAGAGTTTGTTTAATGTTTTCTATTTGTTTTGTCCCACTCTGTGTTAACGTTTCGTGTGTGCTGGCCGTAGTTAAATGAGCTTCGGAGGCAGGTGACCCAGGACGATATAGAGCCGATCCTGCGCCGCACCTGTCACACAGCATACCCTAAGGGTGCACAGAAGTGCGACAGAAACCAAATAGCCTTCAAGGTAGCGTTCCTTGAATGCCGTTCGTCAGTCAAACTGACGAACTGAGCATGGGACGAATGCTGAAGTGTTGTCCACTGTCCAGATTATGCGTAGATTATTTAGCCTGTGTTAGGATTTGTCTTCTCTCCCCCAAGTATTTGAAATTAATTAGAAAGAAAAAAAATTTAATTTTGTGAGTGTTTTTGTGGTCGATGTGTATTAATTTATTATTCTTTATTAGTAAGATTTGTTAGTGGGTGTTTATTTATTTATTAATTTATTAGGAATATTAGTAAAGTTTTTATAAGGGTTGTAAGCCTTGTAGAAGAGAGGGGTACTGTTCTCAGAAGGGATAAGTATGGCTGAGGAACAGGTGTCTGATTGGGCTTCTGACGCTGATGGGGCGTCGGCTCTGCCACCGCCGCGCCCAGCTGGAGGGCTGGTGCGAACGCCAATGAATTTCCGGGGATTTCCAGAGAGACAGATCCCGGAAGAGGGTCACCTGGTAGACTTGGAGAAAGAATTGGCGCAACAGGAACGGGAAGTGTTCCAGCGCGAGGCATTTCCACCACCGGTGCCACCGAAGCCACGTAGACAAGGCGCACGAGGGGCGGAGTATTCGTCCAGCAGCCCAGTTTACGTGGCAGATGCTCAGTCGAGGAACTGGCGTAACCCGAATAACCGCCATTTCCGAGTAGAGGACCGGGGAGCGGATGATTTTCAACCGGAGGAGGCGTACGCCAACGTGCGAGAAACTGCGTACATGAAGCTCGAGCGGTGGAACGTCAAGTTTGACGGCGAGGACGCGATGAATTCGGTCGAGGACTTCGTGTTCCGCCTAGAGTTCCTGCAGAGGCAGTATCAATGCCCGTGGAAGGAGGTCCTGCGCGGTTTCCACCTGCTCCTGACCGGCCGCGCCCGCGAGTGGTATTGGATGCACGTGCGGCATTCTAGGGTCGACAGCTGGATGCAACTGCGGCATGCCCTCTTGGACAGGTTCCGGGGCTACCAGACGGAACACGATGTAATGCAGGAGCTTCTACAACGAGAGCAACAGGCCAGCGAAGGGGTGGATGATTATATCCACCACATGCGTCAACTCGCCGCGCGATTCCAGAAGCCGCTGAGAGACCGAGAGCTGGTGAAGATTATAAAGCGTGGTTTAAAAGAAAGTCTGGCGAAATATATCTATGCCATGGACGTACTCACCGTGGATGAGCTGCGCCAAGAGTGCCTAGAGGTGGAGAGGCACATGGGTCGCAGAAGCCGGACTGGGTACCTTCAGCCGTCGCGTTGTCCACAAGGAACGAGGCCCGTAGTCCACGAGGTTGAAGTACCACCGCATCTTACAGAAATGCCACCAGGAGAACTGGAGGAGGCATTCGTGCGAAGCAGAAACTCATCCCGAATTGTATGCTGGAACTGCAGACAGTTCGATCACGTCTTTAGAGACTGCCTGTCCAAGGAGCGGAAAATATTCTGCTATAGGTGTGGAAAGCCGGACACTTTCTGCTCGCAGTGTGAAAACTGTCCGGGAAACCCCAGAGGGAGCGCGGTGATGGCGGGACAGACGCGTTCCGGGACGGCGACCGCGGGGAAGCAGGAGAGGGGCACCTACCAGAGCCAATAATCATTGGAAAGGAGACGGAGATTTGGAATAAGGATCAGGATAAGGCTAATTATAATAATAGTATAAGCAAAGGAGGAACACTTAGGGGCTTACCATACGAAGAACGTGTTCGGGCATACATGTCGGCCCGAAATAGAATTTTTGGTGAGCGACAGCTGGAGGGGATGACGCTAGCCACCCGGAGAATGGTGAAGGCACGTGCGCGCTTCCGCAGACGCAGGCGCCAGGTCGTCGAAGCGGTGAGACGGGAGGATAGTATAGACCCACGAGTATTCGCCGAAGTGGAGGTCGCTGGGGCCAAGATGAAAGGGTTGCTGGACACGGGGGCCTCAGTCAGTCTGTTGGGACAAGGATGCCGGGAGTTAGTGGAGAAACTGGGATGGGAAGCGCGGCCATACGAATCGATGGTGAGGACAGCGGCGGGTGCCAATCGCCCAATTTTAGGTCGCGTTGTTCTGCCTGTGAAATACGGGAATAGAAAGGAAGATATCGTATTTTACATGGCGAGCCTTCGAGATCGCACCAGAGCTGCTCGGTCCGGCCAGAAAGTCCGAAACACCACCAGAGGCATCTGAGGTAACGGTAGCGAACCCAGAGGTGGCTTATTACCGGGACGACGACGACTGCGTGACGGATCCGGAAATGTGGGACCTGGACAACGATCAGAGGAGTCAATTGGAAAGCGTGAAGCGCAGATTTCTCCAATTTGAGAAGGATGGCCTAGGGAAAACTCACCTGCTGCAGCACCGAATTCAGCTGATCGAGGGAGCAGAACCCGTGAAAGACAGACATTATCCGCTGTCCCCGGCCAAACAGGAGATCGTGTGGGCCGAGGTGGATAAAATGCTAAAGTTGGGCATCATCGAGGAGAGTGACAGCCCCTGGAGCAACCGGACGACGGTGGTGATGAGGCCTGGGAAGAACAGGTTTTGCTTAGACGCCAGGAAATTAAACAGTGTGACGGTAAAAGACGCTTACCCGCTTCCATGCATCGAGGGCATCCTATCGCGAATCGACGAGACTCATTTTATCTCTAGCGTCGACCTTAAGTTCGCGTTCTGGCAAATCGAGATGGAGGAGAAGAGCAGGGCGTATACGGCGTTTACTGTATCCATCCATAAGGATGAGGGGTTTTTTTTGTAGTGGTTGATGGCCGTTCGCATGTTGGCGAAACATTTGCGACTATCCATCGTTCGCCTGGTGGTAGCCGCAACGACAAAGGCATCTCATGATTAAAAAAATGTGATATTAGGGTACTTTAGTCAGATGTTATTTATTCAATTAGTAGTTTTTGTCTCATTTTGTGTCAATGTTGGATGTATGCTGGCCGTAGTTATACGAGCTTCGGAGACAGGTGACCCAGGACGATATAGAGCCGAGCCTGCGCCGCATCTGTCACACAGCATATCCCAAGAATGGCCAGAAGAGCGACGGAGACGGATCTTGCCATGGGGTCCATTGACATGGGGAGTTTTCTTGTCGCGGTTGATGACGGTAAGTCACGTTTGCTAGTTGGTGAACGTTCGCGACCGTCCATCGTAGCCTGGTGGTAGCCGCCATGACAAAATAACCTGTGACAAAATGTGATATTAGGGTAGGTCTGACTAGAGTTTGTTTAATGTTTTCTATTTGTTTTGTCCCACTCTGTGTTAACGTTTGGTGTGTGCTGGCCGTAGTTAAATGAGCTTCGGAGGCAGGTGACCCAGGACGATATAGAGCCGATCCTGCGCCGCACCTGTCACACAGCATACCCTAAGGGTGCACAGAAGTGCGACAGAAACCAAATAGCCTTCAAGGTAGCGTTCCTTGAATGCCGTTCGTCAGTCAAACTGACGAACTGAGCATGGGACGAATGCTGAAGTGTTGTCCACTGTCCAGATTATGCGTAGATTATTTAGCCTGTGTTAGGATTTGTCTTCTCTCCCCCAAGTATTTGAAATTAATTAGAAAGAAAAAAAATTTAATTTTGTGAGTGTTTTTGTGGTCGATGTGTATTAATTTATTATTCTTTATTAGTAAGATTTGTTAGTGGGTGTTTATTTATTTATTAATTTATTAGGAATATTAGTAAAGTTTTTATAAGGGTTGTAAGCCTTGTAGAAGAGAGGGGTACTGTTCTCAGAAGGGATAAGTATGGCTGAGGAACAGGTGTCTGATTGGGCTTCTGACGCTGATGGGGCGTCGGCTCTGCCACCGCCGCGCCCAGCTGGAGGGCTGGTGCGAACGCCAATGAATTTCCGGGGATTTCCAGAGAGACAGATCCCG